GTCAAGGACTGCAGCCTACAATATGGATTGAGGTTCAATATCAAGAAGACAAAGATTCTCACCACTGGACCAATTGGCAGCATCAGGATGAATGGTGAAGAGATTGAGATTGTACACAGCTTTAGTTTGCTTGGCTCTGTAGTCAACAATCTACAATCAACCCTCTTGGAACCAAAAGCCAGGAAATTAAAAGACTAAATGCATTGGGAAAGTTTGCTGTCAGAGACCTCTCCAAAGTACTGAAGAGCGATGATGTCAGTCTGGAGACAAACGTGTACCTGATCCAGGCCATAGTCTTTGCAATTACTTGTTATGCATCAAAAAGCTGGACAATGATTAGGGATGATAGAAGGAGAATTGATGCCTTAGAGTTGTGGTGATGGAAAGAGTACTGAATATGCCATGGACTGCTAGAACAAACAAGTTCACCCTAGAGAGGGTAAAACCAGGCTGTTCATTAGAGGAAAGGAGTCTGAAGCCTTGTCTGACATACTTTGTACATGTTGCAAGACAGGATCAGTCCTTGGAGAGGTATGTCATGCTTGGGAGGATGGAGGAATGGCACAAGAGAGGAAGACCCTCGATGAGATGGATTGATTCAGTGACTGGGGTAATGGGGGTAGGTGTATCGGAGACAGTGAGAATGGCACAGGATAGAGCAAGTTTAGGGCTGTTTTACATTGGGTTGCTATGAGTTGCAGGCGACTCAATGACATATAACAACAACAACATTTATTAAGTTAGAGCTAGCATGCAAAAATTTTGACAGAAGAGATTTTCTAATTCATCTCCCCATTGTGGGAGACCACAGGGAAAGGCTAGGAAATCTAAGTTGCTTTCAGGAAGAACTATGCTGGGAGCTGGGTCTGGAAGGGTGGATATGTTCTGTAAGGTAGGGAGGGTTCTGAAGGCAACTCCTCAGATGAAAGACACAGGGCAGCAAGAGTATGGTCAAGGTTTCTAGCTCAACACACTAAGGGAAGTATTTCTTGCCTTAGCCCCCATACTCGAGATCATCTCCATTTGTTCTTTTTTGAATACCTGCCCCTCAAGTGTTCTAGAAGAGAAGTTATATCAGAAGAACTCTCTTTCCCAGAAAAGGCTTCCAAGACCTTGGATGTATGTCTAAGACGCCCGAGACCACCCTCATACATATCTGTGGCATTGGATGAAGATGAGTCTCAATCAAGAGACACCCTTTCCTGGTACTTAGACTTACAACTTTGACTTAGGGAGTTCAGTCACAGTCAGTCCAAAGCATTACTCAAACACCATCCAGAAGTCAACACCCCCTAAAAGTGCCATTGCCAAGCATTCTGGTTGTTCCTTCTGATTACTCTCCGACACCCAGATCACAGCTGATTGGGGGTCCTGCTTTCATGCTCCCTGCCTTCCTCCCCCAGTAACTACAGCACAGGATGCAGTCTACCACCCAATATTCAGAGATGAGAAAGACAAGTTGTTATTGTTATAGTTACTGTCAAGTCAATTCTAGTTCCAGGTGAGCCCATGCATGCAGAATAGAACTGTTCCACAGGGTTTTCATGGCTGTGGGCTTTTTGAACCAGGTCACCAGGCCTGTCTCCCGAGACATCTCTAAGTGGATTCAAATCACCAACTTTACAGATAGAAGTTGAGTACTCAACCATTTACACCACCTAGGGACTCCCCAGAAAGTCAAACCAGGAAATAATACAGATATGAAGGGCTGCAGGAGAGCTGATTTAAGAGAGGACAGACGAAGACTGTGGGCTGAGGAAGAAGTGAGTAAAGCCTGGCCATCAGGGAGGGTGGGGCAGGTGAGCACGAAGTTAGGGAAATTTCCAGACACTTAAAAGAAATGAACTGAGATCAAGCAGAAGGAAAGGCCACAGGCAGCGTGTAGAGTCTGTGACCCTACTTGGAAACAACCTTTCCTTCGTTCCCCATTTGCGTATTTTTAGCTGCCTTGAACAACAGATTCCTGATGTGTCTGTGAACCCCCACTTCCTAGGTTACAGAGCACAAGCTTGGGCTCACTTGTTTCTGAAGCAATTACCAGGATGTCCACAAAGTCTGGACCTGTGGTCTCTTCCCCTTGACATTCTCATCCACTCCTGAGGCTAAATTATTGCTT